TCTCTCTCTCTCTCTCTCTCTCTCTCTCTCTGCCATCTGTGGCTGCTCAATAGCACAGTCTAGCCTGTCACATTCAATAACATTAAAGTTTCTCTTCATTGCCAAGTTGTACCATGTAATAACTACGTCATAAACACCGTGTAGTTTGATGTATTGCCTCTTAAATAAACGACGTCAGACGCATCAGGAAGACAATGATTTATTTCAATTACATTTTGTATTAGCTTTCGATTTGTGTGCTTTCGTGTAATGGGGAAGCTTTGTGCATTGCGTGCAATCAGTTCAATCCCCAAGCGGTGGCACTATTTCAACGAGTGTTCCCAATTTTTCTAGTAGGATGTAGCCTACCCATTGTAGTAGTGGCTGATCCTAGACAGATGTGATCGAACAAGTTCTACTCCGCAATGATCTAGCGCGCATCGATGCAGGTGTTAAAACAATAACTTACAAAGGGTCTCTCAACGGTTCGATTTTAGCTAATTGCAAAAACTGCGCGCTCCTTATCTAGTAATACTTCTTGAAATATACAGATTTTCCCAAAACCGATGAATTTCATACCCATAGATGGGACCTAACAGCCCGTGCAATAACTCTCCACGGACAAAGATCTGTGTCGCGAAGTAACCAGTTATCTTTCCTAAAGATGCAATCTGATAAAATGAACCCAGTCGGCCAATACGTACTGGAACGAAAGGAACGATGCTTTAGGACTGAAATACAGTATTGTACTCGCACTGTGTATCAAAACACACAAATCGGCCCCACGCAGTTGACCGACGTAACAGTTGTGAAATCTTCACTTTCCTTCGACTTCGATATTTGTAAACCATAATATTGCCAATAACAGTCTCGAAATATTTGAAAGCGGATGAGTATTATGTAATCTATGATAAGCCTTTAGTATTTGTTTATGGCTGTATAAAATTAAAAGAAATGTCGTGTTTCAACAAATCCTGTTTCCTTCCTGTTAATGCGTTCCGCTTTGTCTTTCGGTTGAATTGGGGAAATAGAATGCCATGGTTGAAAAAATGAAAGGTTAAAATGTTTTGAGTTGCACTAAAAAGACCAAAGGTTTGGTAATGGAAGTAGATGGGTCTTGATGTGGTTAAATTGCTGCTTTGAGAATAAGCTGTAACCAGCAAAAGAGGGAAATGAGCCTACAGTCGTCAGTAATGTGTTGTTTTTGTTTTTTCTCCCTTTCTTCTGAGACAGCAGGATTATTACCAAGGGAAATGGAATGGAAAATGTGCAACACCTTGGGGAAAAGGTCAAGAATTAGAATCAATTAAATCGATAGAAATTGAAGGGAAGCCTGGAAAGTGAAGTGCAGCGAAAATTGATGATGCACTCGGTGTGGGAAGGCAAAAAGGCAAAGGGAAAGGTGATAATGCCTATGGAAAGGTTCAGTTATCACGTCTGCTGATTCAACTTTTTACATTGAGCAAAGTGGTTTTCGTGTTCTGTGCAGCTCAGTGATGATGACGAAGTGGTGTAGCTGTTCCGGGTGTTTTGACGAAATCAGATGACACTTTATTCGAAAAGAAACTTACAAG